AGGTCTTCCCAAATAATAAATCTAGAATCCCCCAGAGGATGATCAAGATCACGTTTTGAGAGACATTTTTGGCGAATTTGAATAATTTAGCTGAAGAAAGTAATCCTGGTGAATTCTAGTTATTCCTTAGGAAAACCCGACTGGGTAATAAGTCTCCTGTTTCAGAATCAGTGGCTTACATACACTGTAGTAAGCTGAAGGACTAACAGCTAAAATGTGAAAAAAACTCGAGGCGTCTAGTCGGGCTCTCATAGGTCAAATGTTTGCGACGTTGGATGTACTATAGCCTTACTTTTAATATTTTCGGAGTTGAAAACCAAAGAGGCCGCCGAAAGTTTTATAATATGGTCAGCCAAAATATCCTGATCTGACAGAAACAATAATTTTAATTATGCAACGTTGAAGCATTATTATTGAGAAGTCGCGTGGAAAAGGCACTTCCATTGTCCAGGTGTAGAAATTAATATGCTCATAGTCAGTTCTTTCTAACTGGGGTTGGGATATGACTGACTGGTAACTGTAAAGAAGCTGGAAACGGAAATTAGAATTGCGGCGGTTTTTATCAGTGCTCACTCTACAAGAAAGCTATTGTGGTTTTTGTGGACAGCCCTAAATAACCAAACCAAAACAAAGTATGGGCGAAGTTCAGGGAAGAAGGCAACTTTAAAAAGCAACGCCTTGGAAGATAGCAGGGGTGCAAAAGTATGTTGGCTGTAATAAGGCTTAATTGGGGGGGGGACTAAATAGGATTAATTATGGTTTTTGCAAGCTTTCTAAAAGGTATGTTTGTGTTGAAAAATAATTTTAGGCAGGTAGTAATTTTAGTGAGCGGAAACTTTGCAGGCGGTCGGCAATCGGGCGTGAAATATGTATCCCCAGAGACTGATTAAGGATAGTCAACAGTACAATTTCGCCAAAGTAGTCTTTTCTAAAGGAGAAAATATCTCGGGAATTAAATCAATCTCATATGAGTTACTGCATATATTCTAGGAGAGTTGAGAACACTAATGAATCGAGACACTGAATATTGTTTGAGCATTTAGAAGAGAGGAAAGCTTTACCAGTGGGAAAATATCCAACAGTGGCAAAAAAATTAAAAAAATCAGACGAAAGAAATTTCCCAAGTGACATTTTGAACGAGAAAATAGTCAGTTAATTAGCATGCTTTCCAATAGTGCAGAAAGCGCAGACATAATTTCGCTTCAAAGTGAAGGGAGTAAAGTGATACATGCATATGCATAGAAAGGGCTCTTGCGCACAACATCTTCGAGACGTAAAACTCATTGTACATAAAAATAACCAAAAGTCTGGGTTTTCTTGAAAAGGCAGACTTTTGATAGGCTGAACGGCATACTGATAGTAAGGATTTGTATGGCAAAGTAAGGGGAGACGGACAAATATGATCCCCCTAAATAGGATATAACAAAAGGAAGCGTCCACCAAACAGACACGTTTGCGTAGAATTCCCGAGCGACTGGGGTTAAAGTTATGTTTAGGCTAAGTGTTAACTGTGGGCTTATGGTTAAGATTAGAGCTGCAGTTTATATTTAAGTTTGTTCCGTAAGGAGGGGTTGTATAATCCCACTGGGTTACAACGGCTGTGCTAGACATTTTGCGACACGATTGTCGAAACACACCGTCTTTTAAAATGCACTCTGCATCATAAAGCGAATAGCATACTTAAACACCATGCTTCTTATTTATGACTGCTCTTACCACTCCTTTCCTCACCCCCACCGTGTCCGTATTACACGGACCCATGATTAGTAGTTGCGAGGTGGGGATAAACAACCTATTGTTGCCGTTATTGCTAGAGCTAGCTCAAGAAAATATTTACACCTGCTATAATCATGCGCAGGACTGCCT